TTCCCCCACTGAGTCCTAACTAGGCTGGCCCAATCTTTGCCCAAAGGCAAAGTCCTCTCTCTGCCACTACAGTGTGGTAGGCCCTGCCCACTCTCCCAATCTCTCCCATGGGAGAATCTACAAGGAATAGACCTTGGCCAAAAAACAAAACAAAATAAAACAGACGAGAAGATTCAGCTGTGTGTAGCTTTATAGTTTCCAAAACGGATGGCATCGAAGCAGTTCCCCCACTGGGTCCGAGAACAAGGATCCTGGATTGTAGGCCAAGGAAGCCCCTACTCACCCTGTCATATTGTGGGTCCCTCTTCCCCAGTGAGGTTGAGCTGTGATGGGAACCACCTCCATACACTTCCTCAGACTCCAGCAGGTCACCAGGTTGGGATCTGATACCACACACCCTGTCATTCATTAGCTTGTCCGAATCGTGTCCTCTTCCCACCTCTGGAATACGTGCGGAGACAGGTAAGAGATACGGGGGCCAGAGCCTGACGAGAAATCTCTAGAAGGGTTTCCAGAACTGAGTGGGGGATACATAACTTGCTTTGGGGGTGGGGGTGGAGATATGAGCTGACTCCAGACCCTGGTTCCAGAGCCCTGGTTATGGAGTAGTTCTCAGTACTGGGATTTGAATGGGCCCCGCCCCGGTACTACTCATAATGAAACTTGGGTTCCAATGCAGCAGTGTCAGGTAGGACTAGAGGCGAGCGTTTGGGTCCTGGAGACAAGGCCCACAAGGACAAATAGGACGTTTTCATCAGTTCTCCCTGGTACTGTTTCTCTGTGTAGCCCTGGCTGTCCTGGAACTCGCTCTGTAGACCAGGCTGGCCTTGAACTCACAGAGATCCACTTGTTTCTGCCGCCCAAGTGCTGGGATTGAAGGCGTGTGCCACCGCCGCCTGGCACTTTTTGAACTTTTTGAGGGAGGGGTTCACAATATAGCCCCAGCTAGCTTGAAACTTACTATGTAGCTCAGGATGGCCTCAAATTTGAGGAGATCCTACTTCTGCCTCCAGAGTACTGAAAATAAAGGCTTTAAGTAACCACACCTGTATGAAAAATATGAACTATGATGTTTACCTAGTGCTCAGAGGAAATGAAAATAAAATTATCTGAATAGGGCTCTGCCAGGAAAAATGGCCTTGCTTCCTTTTTGACTGGCTTTGAAGGCAATGTAAACAGAATGGGAAAGAAAGGGACTGTTCCATCTGCCTTCCTACTCTCCTAATCTCTTCCCTCAGGAGTAAGGATTAACATAAGGCACTTGAATGAGAAAAAGAAATAAAAGAGAAAGGCCACAACTGCTCCTAGGTAAGGTGAAGGAGAAAGTTTGTTGTAGCTGAAAAGAATAGCCAGAGGCAGGTACGTCTGGGAGAGTCCAGAGTAATGGAGAGTAATGGAGAGTGGATTATATAAGGAAGAAAAGCTAGGGGAAGGACAACCCAGTCCCTGGGCTGGAGAAGTTTAGGGCAAAGGCAGGGTATGCCAGCCATACCTTGTACCAGGTAGGGACTGAAGGATGCAGGGAAAACCTGGGGGCCATATCCGCTTTTTATGTTAAATAGGCTTCTCAGTTAGCCTTTGACCCTGGTTGGCAACCTAACGGCCTCTTCCTGTCCTCAACCCTGCCAGAAACCCGTGGTTTCACACTCACAAAGCAGCCAAGGATGGCCTTGAACTTCCTTTCTTAAAAGATTTACTTTCTTGGAGCTGGAGAGATGAAGACATTAAGAGTTCTTGTAGAGGACTATAGTTTGGTCCCAGCTCCCAAGCCTGATTAAGCTCTGGATTTTGGTAAGTGTATTTAAGTACTATATTCTACTTCAGCTTAGCAGGGCAGTTTATGTTTGAAATTCTAGCAGCCTCATTGCCCGAGGAAAGGCTATTCTGGGCTAGCCTGAGTTAAGACCTTTTCTCAAAAGAACAAAAAACAACACACACCTTTAATTCCAGCAGTTGGGAGGCAGAGGCAGGTGGATCTCCTTGAGTTTGAGGCCAGCCTGGTCTACAGAGCTAGTTCCAAGAACAGTTAGGGCTTCACAGAGAAACTTTGTCTCAAGAAACCAAAACAAACCAAAAACAAGCAAGGAAACAAAAACAAATAAATAAATGAATAATGCGTAATTTATTTGGCAGGGCAGGGGAAAATGGCTATTTTTTTTTTGTTTTTCGAGACAGGGTTTTCTCTGTGTAGCTTTGGAGTCTGTCCTGAAACTTGTAACATGAGGGGAGCCTGCTTGTTTGTGTTTTCTGTCCTGCCCAGTTCCCCAGCTGTTTAGTCCCAGAGAAAAATCACACAAAGGACTCTATAAATTATAATGCTGATTGGCCCTTTAGGTCAGGTTTCTTTTTTTTTTAAATATTTATTTATTTATTTATTATGTATACAATATTCTGTCTGTGTGTGTATGCCTGCAGGCCAGAAGAGGGCACCAGACCCCATTACAGATGGTTGTGAGCCACCATGTGGTTGCTGGGAATTGAACTCAGGACCTTTGGAAGAGCAGGCAATGCTCTTAACCTCTGAGCCATCTCTCCAGCCCTAGGTCAGGTTTCTTATTGGCTAACTCTCATATCTTGATTAACCCATTATTTTGATCTATGTTAGCCATGTGGCTCAGTACCTTTTTTCAGTAGGGCAGATCACATCCTGCTGCTTCGGTAGTCTGGGCAGGAGTGGGAAGAATCAACTTCCTCCTCCCCAGAATTCTCCTGCTCTCTTTGTATCATTTTCACTTTTTGTCTGTTTTTCCCACCTACACCTCCTGCCTGGCCAATCAGCGTTTATTTAAAACATGATTGACAGAATATAGACAATTCTCCCGTACCATTCTCCCGCACCAGGAACTCACTCTGGAGACCAGGTTGGCCTTAAAATCACAGAGATTTGCCTGTCTCTACCTCCTGAGTACTGGGATTAAAGATATGTGCCACCACCACCTGGCAATAAGTAAATCTTTTAAAATGATAGTAATATATTTTGTTTTTAGTGAGGCATGGGGGCACACCTGAGATTCTGGCACTTAGGAGGCTGAGGCAGAAGGACTACCTCAAATTCAAGGCCAGATTGGCCTACACTGTAGTGACAAAGAGACCCCATCTCAAAGGAAACTCGGACTGCCAGGATGGCTTAGTGATGGCACCGGCTGATCTCACAGAAGACCCAGTTCAGCAGCATCCACATGGTGGCCTGTAACTCCAGTTCCAGGGGCTCTAACACCCTCTGTGGGTAGCAGGCACACAGGCGGTGCACATACATATGTGCAAATACAAGACTCATCCATATTAAGGAACATTTCGAAAATCTTGAAAAACAAAACTCCACCACCACGATGCTGGAGAGCTGACTCACTGAGTGTGTATCCTAGCACCCATCTCAGTAGCTCACAAAGCTCCAACTCCCAGGGGATCTGACACCTTCTTCCAGCCTCCAAGGACACCTTTACACACCTGGCACACACACACACACACACACACACACACACACACACACCACAAATAAAAATAAATCTTTAAAGGAAAATAGCCATGGGACTGGAAAGATGGCTCAACATTTGTTGCATTTACAGAGGACCCAGGTTTGGTATCCAGAACCCACATGGTGGCTCACAACCATCCTTAACTCCAGTTCCAGGGGATCCAATACCCTCTTCTCAACTCCACAAGTAACACACACACACACACACACACACACACACACACACACACACGTGCGCGCGCACGCGGTGCACATACATTCAAGGACAGACACTTCTTTGTGTTTGGAGCTGGCCTGGTCTACATATCGCGTTCCAGTTCAGCCAAGACTACAAAATGAAAAACAAAACAAGCTAGTTTCTCTTGTGTTTTTATACATTTTATTTTATAATTTACAAACATTTTTCTGGGTAAGTATTCATGAGTTTCACCAAAATATCAAGGGATCCATGGTAGGATGGAAGGCTTAAAATTCCTGCACACCAGAAATATGTTGCCTTAACTCTTCCGTAAAAGGATGTTTGCCACTGGATGCTGTATCTCTGGGGGTCAGAGTCTTTTCTTTTCCTTTAGATTTATTTTTTATTTTATGAGCCTGTACCTGTGAGCACTACACATGTATCTGATTCCCGAGGAGGTCAGAAGACGGCACTGGTTCCCCCGGAACTGGAGATGCAGATGTTGTGAGCCGCCTTGTGGGGGCTGGGGACTGCTAGTCCACCTTTCCAGCTCCCTCAAAGGAAAGGGACCATCCCCCGAGCACAGAATCCCATCCCAGTTGTGGGCTTGCTGCCCCCAGCATGCTGAGGGCTGGACAAGTGCACCATGAGAGCAGCTGTGCACCATCTCGGAGATTTGTCTATGGCTCTCCTCCTCCCCGCTGCAGCTGGGTGGGCCGAGGGTTCCACTGGGTCAGATATTTTTCAGACAGAATGGCAACAAGCTGACCAGGATGGCTCATTTCTTAGGGAATTTGAACGCACTGGGGTGTCAGCACTGAGAAAACTAGAGGAGGGAGCAGATACCAAGAGAGGGATGGCAAGCCAACCGCAGAGATCTGGAGAACTGCCCAGACAAGGGGTCTTCCACCACAGGAGAGATCTGGCCCTGCTCGCTACCATCCGGTCCTACAGCTCAGAGACTGGGGAAAGGCAGGGTCTCCAGCTACCTGTAGCCCCACGGCTGAACATGAGGCCTACCAGGAACTCCATGGGGGAAAAGCTGAACCTGCTTTCTCCTCCTTTCTCTGGCTTGTGAACAGGTCTCTATTCCTGGTACGTAGTGCTATGATCTTGTTAATAACAACTATTATTATTATCCGAGGATTTTTGATCTGCTTGGCTGTGTACAAAGCAATTAGAGCTATTATTGCTCCTGGTGGGGGTTGGGGAGGAGGGGCAGAAAGGTCTGCACTGAGAGCCCTCTACCGCCAGGTTCCTTCTATCCCATGGGGGCCTGCAGCACCTCTTCTCTTACACGGAGTTAACCCAGTCATAGCACCCATCCAAAAACAGACTAACTACATCCACATCTCAATTCTATTTATTTGTTTGTTTATTTCTTGGGGAAGAGTCTCACTATATAACCCTAGCTGGCTGGAACTCAATATGCAGAAGAGGCTGGTCCTGAACTACAGAGATCTGATTGCTTCTGCCTCGCCAGTGCTCGAATTAGAGACATGTGCCACCATACCTGGGCACATTTCAATCCTAACAGTGCTTTAGAGATGAGGAAAACCTGGGAGAAAAGCCAGATGCCTACAGACAGAAATAGAGTCCAAACTGGGTGTGGCGGCTACAGTGGGATGATCGCAGTTGAAGGGAGGGAGGGAGAAAGAGAGAGAGAGAGAGAGAGAGAGAGAGAGAGAGAGAGAGAGAGAATTTAATGGTAGAGGATTCCCCTCGGGAGCTCTGTAAATCAAACTCTAATATTCAAAGCAAGCTCCACTGATACCTTTACTCCTTGGTAAGGTGCTCCTTTGTATCGCCAGGCCCACAAAGGAAACAGCTGGTATCAACAAACACGTAACCCTCGGCTCCTTTCCAGTAAATTATAAGGGTTCATGTGGCCCAGATGAGAAACCCAGTATTCAGTTCTCAGCTGGGAAGTAGCTACTGCTTAGAATCCACTGAGGGCACGGGTGGCCTCCTGGCTCCCAGGCATTGGCACTAGTAGATGTACTCAGTAGTGGAACCATATACTCCTAGGCCTATTATGGGCTAAACATTATGCCAGGTGCTGGGGATCAAGGATGAATGAAGAAATTAACTCGAAGGATAAAGTTGAACAAATACTTAAAGAACACTCTCAAAATCTGTAAAGGAAAAACAACAGTTTAATCTGTGCTTTGATCCAGGTGTACTAGGGGAGAGCTTACCCTCAGCTTCCCAAGGGAAGATTTGAGAGGATTAGAACCATAATCCTCAGGTTAGGTATCAAAGTTTGAGGTCTGAACCCTAACCCAGACCCCCCACACCTGGACCTGAGGTTTCCTTTAATTCCCAGCATAGATCCGGAAATTGAGTTGTCTGGTTGTCAACCCATTCAGGGTCAAGTAACCCAAGAACAATGATTCTCCCTTCAAATGATTCTCCCCTTGCTCAGCAGACCCCACCTACATAGGCCCTTTAATTGAACAACTGTTCTTAGTTTCCCCGCCACCCCTGGGACAGGGTTTCTCTGTGGAACCCTGGTTGTCCCTGAAACTCGCTTTGTAAACCAGGCTGACCTCGAACTCCTTAGTGCTAGGATTAAAGGCATGCGCCAGCACAGCCTGGCGAACAGCTGTTCTTATTTTCATTTATTTATTTATTCACTCATTCATTTATTGGTTTGTTTTTCGAGACAGGGTTTCTCTGTAGCTTTGGAGCCTGTCCTGGAATAGCTCTTGTAGACCAGGTTGGCCTCAAACTCACAGAGATCCACCTGCCTCTGCCTCCCTAGTGCTGGGATTAAAGGTGTGCACGACCACCGCCCGGCCGGACAGCTGTTCTTAAGGACGGTCTCAAGTAACGTTCTTAGAAGGTGCTTCCTTTCAAAGGAAGGAGCAGGCGCAGGCATACACCGGCTTCCCAAATCCTAAACACAGACCGGCCAGCAAACCAGACCCTACGCCGGACCTGGCTCCTTCCGAAGAGCTGGACTTTAGAGCACAGCCCTCAAGAATAGCTCCGCCCCCAGAGCGCGGGCGCTGATTGGTCAGCGTAACCGAGGGGCGTGGCTAGATCTTAAAGGTCCAAGAGCTTAGTAGGCCGGGAGGAGGCGGTGGCTGCTCCGGAACCCCAGAGGAAGAGATGCCTCAAAGGCCCATATAGGTTTCTTTAAAACCTCGCTAATGTCCAGACTCGAGTCCCAGATCTATGGAGCCCACCAGAAACTGTCCACTGTTCGGAGGCGCCTTCTCTGCCATCCTCCCGCCTGGGGCCATTGATGTGAGGTGAGAAAGCCCAGGCGCGCCCCGGAGGCCGGTCGGGTGGGTTGCGGGAAGAAGCCAGAGACAACTAGAGTGTCCCTGTCCCTCTCCAGCGACCTCCGACCGGTCCCGGACAACCAAGAAGTTTTCTGCCATCCCGTGACCGACCAGAGTCTGATCGTGGAACTTCTGGAGCTGCAGGCCCACGTGCGGGGCGAAGCGGCTGCGCGGTGAGAAAGCTAGCCAATGGGAGGCCAGGAGCCAAGGAGGTGGGCGGGGCCTGTGGCTGGACGGTTATTCAGGACGAAAACTCCAAGGGCGACGATAGCAAACTAGCCAGGAGAGTGAGACTCGAGGGCGGGGATGGGTTATTCAATGATGCCCCTCCCTACCCCTGTCCCCCCGACTCTAGGTACCATTTTGAGGACGTTGGCGGGGTGCAGGGGGCTAGGGCCGTGCACGTGTTATCTGTGCAGCCTCTCTGTTTGGAGAACTTATCCCTGAGGGGCAGCTGTCAAGATGCCTGGTTCCTTTCTGGCAAGCAGCAGGTAGCTAAAGAAAACCAGCAGGTGAGGGCCAAGGCGAAGGGGATGTGGAGCGGGGGAAGGGTAGCTCCACGTACCATCCTTGTAAGCATTCTGATTCTGATCCCTTTAGGTAGCAAAGGATGTCACACTACATCAGGCCTTGCTTCGGCTGCCCCAGTACCAGACTGATCTCTTGCTCACCTTCAATCAGCCCCCGTAAGGACTAAGGAAAGGGTGGGAAGCTCGCGATTGGGTGTTGCCCCCCCCCAACAATTAGGCTTGGGTGGGTCAAACAGGAAGACTGGCTGGTGGACTCCTTCAAGGAAGCAGAAATGAGCCAGGGGCTTGGGGGTCAGGGATTCCTGGTCTTCTGGGGAATAGGAAGTGTAATCTTGCAAACCTCAAGCTGGATTCTTTCTCCTTCTGTTCCCTAAGCTCTAACAGCAGGTCTCTTGGCCCTGAAAATCTGTCATGTCCACCTTGGAGCCTGGGTAACTTTGAACAACTGGTGACTAGTTTGACTCTTCATGATCCCAACATCTTTGGTCCCCAGTAAAGATGGTGGAACACATAACTGCTGCTGAGGACTCAGGGACCCAGTTCTGAGAGGGGGAGTTTCTTTCTGCTTCTTCCCTGGACATAAACATAAGACACCTCCTCTGCGGAAATAAACTTGCTTTATAAACAACATAGTTTCTGTGGCTTTGAATCTAAGAGGACACCTGGATCTCCCCAGTTCCCTTTGGTCTTGGAAGGGGGGCTTTTAAAGCTGTGTACAGGAGCAGGAGGGACCCAAGAATGGCAGTAGAAATATACTTTGGAGTGTCTGATTCAACCCTGAGATGGGTGTGGGGGACCTGTGTGGCAATTTAAAGCAATATCCATGGGAAAGACATAAATTACTGCTCAGAATGATTCAATCCTAAGAGAACAGAGAGGCAGTGGATGTGGCTGTCCCCCTTAGGTTCATGAGAAGTTAATCGGTCAGTAAATAGTCACTGAGATAGTAAGTAGTAGAGGCTGGTGCCCAAAGAGTGTTGATTTGGAGTACAGGAGCGTGACTCATTTAGTATATGTGCTGTAGAAGAAGCGCAGCTGATCCCAGAAGAAGAGGGAGAGGATAGTATGGGGGCCAAGGCGAAAATAGGAGGCACCTATACCCTTGTACATGCCAAAAAAGCCCTCTTTCCGAGCTGTCTGCAGCAGAGCGTCCAAGATCCCCCGGTACATGAGGCCCTGGAGCATGTCAGAGGGAGGGAGAGCAGAGGAGGAGCATGTCAGAGCCTCCCAGGGTCAAACACCTCTGCAGGCAGCACTCGAACTGCTTTCCACCCCCCAGCTTTCCCTGGCAGCCTGAACCCTACCCTACAGCATTCCCTTACCTTGCCGTGGGTATCAGTGGGTTGGTTATAGAGCCTCGTGCTGGCCACATCAAAGGGTGTCATGGCCAGGACTACTGCGATGCCACTCACCATGGCAGCCGCCAGAGCCACCTTCCAGCTCTGGGGAGGAAAGATCTATAAGAAAGAGAATTTTATCAACCACAAGTCATTCAATCTTAGGGTAGGGCTGGCCCTGCCCTGGGAACACAATTTCTGGGCACTTCCATACCACTAGAGATGACACAGTGTGATAATTCTGGAGGAGGAGTATCTAGAGGGCTTAGGTACCCCTTCTAGTAGATAACAGAACCGTGTCTAAGGAGTCAATGACCTCAAGCCCTCTTGCTGCTCCCATCCCATCCAGAGCCCACCTCCCTTTTTCCACCCTAGTTCCCCATTCCAGGGATGGTCCCACCCCTTCCCTGGCAGTACCTCCCACTCGCTCAAGAGGTCCTTGGTAGATGAGAAGGTGCACAGCTGGGTAGAGGAGCCGACGACCACTCTGGGCAGGCCGCCCACGGCCCCACGCCACAACCCCACTAGACCATGTTTCTGGCCAATCTCGGTTAGTGCCTGAAACATGCCCTGGTGGGGGGGGGGGAGACCATGGGGTTGGGGTTCAGTCACCCCACCATCAGGGACTGCCTCCTGATAACACAAGGTTCATGCACCTGTTGCCCAGACAACCCGTCCAGTGTAGGCTTAGAATCAGAATAGGGGCCCTCAGGTGTCTACTGACACTTGCCAACCCGGAGTTCAGGCTGAAGGCATGGAAGTGAGGGCATTAGCAGGTCAAGAGAATGGGGCAGGAAAAACAGGTGTGGAGATTGGAGGGACAAGGATACATGAGGGTCAGGATAGGCTCCAGGGCCTGACGAGTAGGACTGGATGGGGTTGGGCAGAGCAGGATTGGGGCTTCTAGGCACAGGCAGAAAGCTGGGAGAAAATGGGGGAGATGGTTGGGTACTCCAGTGGTTTGGGGGACCCTCACCTGATGCTTATACTGGTGCCCTACAGCAATTTCAGACTTTGCCTGTGCCTGAAGGTGTGTCTTCACCTGGGGACAAGAGAGTATCATAGCCTGTTGTCCCTGTGGTCATCTCCCCACCATGGAGACCAAAACACCCAAACCCCTTGCACTTCCTCTAGGGTATTAAGCAACCAATATATTCTTTTAATCTGATAATTATTCTTGTTCCCACTTAACAAATTGGTCATGAGACTCTGTGTCCCTTGGCTGCAGTCCCAGGGGACAGACCTCCTAGCACTGCAAGATACCCCGCCCCCTCCACATCCTACTTCCCTTGGGGCTGGGGGTGGGGAGTGGAGTTTGGAGAATGGCAGTATTTCCTAAGATTTCATGTTAGGCAAGATGAGGGTGTCCAGCCTCTTCTGCCAGCTCCCATTCCAGGTCAGATCTCCAGCTGCCACCTCCACCAGCCTCCCTGTTAGACTACCCAAAGCCGTATGAGTTCAGATGACTTTGAAGATGCCTTTGTCTTCAAATCTCATACACTAGGAGTGAGACCAAGTTGGCTCTCCTACAGATCATCTCATTCTCATTGGTTACACTAAGTCTGGCCTAGTCCCAACAATAAACAGCTGTGTGACCTTGAGCCGGGCACCTACCGTCTCTGGGTCTCAGGCTCCCAACCCTTCACCTACATTTGATAACTCAAAGGAGTAAACTGTGAGACTGCAATTCCGTGATGCCCAGGACCCTCTGATCCTGCGCTCACTGAGGCTTGTCACTCAGGTCCTTGTCCTGCCGACACAAAGTCAGCCTCAGGGTTAGGCAATAACCAGACAACAAAAGCTACCCAATCACTGGGCATGGTGGTACATGTTTGTATTCAAAGCTCTCTGGTGGCAGAGGCAAGGAGGATCAAGAGGCCAGCTTGGGTTCACAGTGAATTTCAGACCCGCCTAAACCATATAGCCAGACCATGTATCCTCAAACAAACAAACAAACAACAAATAAATAAATAAATAAGAAAGAAATATTGTCAAATCTTTCTGCCAGGACCTATACTAATGCTTCACATGTACATCTCATTTGTCTCCTTTAATCCTCCTGACAACCACACAAAAACCTATAACTATTCCTGTTTTATAGATGTGGCAACAGTGAGTGGTTTTCCAAGACCTGAGTTCCTGAGTCTGATTCCAAAGCTCAGCTGTAGGCAGATGTGGAGCACACCTGTTAACCGCAGCACTGGGAAGCCTAGGTTGGAGTGTGGGTTTGAAGCCAGTCTATGCTACGGAAATTTTGACACTACTACAGAGGGAAACCCTGCCTCAACAAACAAACGACACCCCCACCCAACTCCCCCAAAGCAAAAATCTGTAATCTCAGCACATTGCAGTCATTTGGGTGGGTGTGTATAAGGCAGATTGAAGGTCTGGAAGCTTGTCAGCACTTTCCTGTGACTTTTCCTGCTTACACGGAGATAGCACCCTGTCACCAATGCCCTTATGAAGAACAGGCTCCCACCCTATACCAAGGGTCTTTCATGAAGGCCCCAGACAAGACTCCCTCTTACCATGTAGATTGGGCTTCCCAGATAGGCTCCCATGACCCCAGCTAGGGCCCCAGCTGCAGCGCTGCGGATAGGACTGTGGATGCCTTCATCAGTGCGCAGGTATCCCCTAGACTCCGCCAGCCCGTAGGTACCCAGTCGGATGCCATTCATCAGAAACTGGTACAGGAGCGCAGGGGCCAGGCCCTTCTGCAAGGCAGCCAGGCCATCCACCTTGCCAATGGTGAAGAAGGCATGGAAGACGTTCCGATAGTGGCGCTGGTAGGTTCCCGGAGCCTTCAGTTCTCCCTGCAATTGCATTCTGGTCTTCACAACCTCCAAGGGATTGGTGAACACACAGGCCCCGCAGGCTGCCAGACCACTCATCAAGAAGTCCATGGTAGGGGTAGCAACGGCCTCGGGAAGCAGGGATGGATATCAGGGCCAACACCTGGCTTTTTGCAGTCCAGGCTGCAACAGGTAGAAATTTAGAGAGCTAAAGTGTTAGAGTCAAATGTCAAGAAGTGAAGTAAGGTTAGAGGGAATTTGGGAGTCAGAGGGTGGCAAATAAGGGGGAAAGAGGAGTGTCGGAGAGTCTGGCGAAAAGGCCCTGTTAGCCAAGCGATCTCAGGTCGAGGAGGAGCAGAAGTTAGACGATGGCAGGTGAGAATGCCTGGGATGACAGGCTAGGGGGACCAGGGAGTATTTAAGGAAAATGCGGAGTTGGGAAATGGTAGCTGGAGAGGCTGGAAAAAGAAAAGCAACAAGAAGAAAAGGATCAGAGGGAAGATCCGGAGGTGCCTTGGCGACAAGCAAGAGGAGGGCTGCGAAGGAAGTTAAGATTCCAGCTAAGAATGAGCGTGGCAAGGTAGCTACGGAGCTGGAGCACCTTTACCCGGGTAGCTTGCGGAGGCCGGGCCGCCACTCTCCGGTCGGTGGAACGCAGCGCCAATGGGGACTCTCCAAGAGCCGCAGCCGAGCGCCTCCGCCAATGAGCGCGGAGCCGGCTCGGCGGCCAATGGGAGGTGCTCAGCGGCCGGGCCCTCGGCCTCCGCTGGAGCAGGTTGGTTAACTCTCGTGGGCCCGGCTGCAAGGCCCGCGACCGGTCTCCGCCGAGTGCCCGAGGCGCCGAGGTTTCGCTGTCCCGGAGTTGGCGCGTACCGTGGGTTCCTGAGCGGACGCAGAGGCTGAGAGCCGAGGGTTGGGCAGCTCCTCCTGCGGACGGCAGGCTCGCCGCGCTCGTCCTCTACCCCAGGTCATCTCGGTTTGGGGTTGTCTGACCGCAGCCACGCCCAGCGCTGTTCGAGTGCCAGGACAGCCCGGAAACAGCAGTCCCGCCCGCCAGGGAGACGGACACACCTGCTGGACAGCACCCATCTCTTAAGGCCAAATAAAATGTCTGTAGTGTCTAGTACTAGGGTGTGCCAGCTGCTTGATCTGCGGGAGAGCCAGGGAACGAAGCTTGATCTTACTAAGCTCTTGATCCTCACAATGACCTAGAGAAGGCTGGGCAGGTCAAGACAAGGATTTCCATTCCCTCTCCGGCGAGGCTTAGATTACACAGAGCAAACTTGTCTCTTGTTCTTGCTCCATGCGTGTGGTTAATCATGAAAGAACCCGCGGGAAAGAAACTGGAAAAGAGCGGAGGGAGAGAGAAGGCTTGGAGCAAGAAGGCAGGAGCTTAGGGTTGTCATCTGGGTGGCAGGAAGAAGCAGAGGGCTCGCCTGAGTAACAACTACTTTACTTACCGCTGAGTTCGGATTCGCGTCTTCCTACTATCTGATTGACGGTCGGCAAGTCACTTTCTTCTGAGAGACCACTCGGAAAACGAGCGGTGTCAGTAGGACTTGCTGCAAAGGAAAGGTTGGGCTGTGTTCAGTTAAATTTACTGGAAAGTCGGGAGTTGACAGAATTCTTCCCATTTCCTGGAGGTCGCTGCCCTCTCTGGTGGTGTCCACCGTCAGGATGCCCCTGAGCATCTTCTGGCTTTTCTAAATTGTCCGTATTCAGCTCTGTCCTGCTTTGTTCCTCAAACACGCACCTATTGTTCTCATTTAGCGGTTGTTAATTTTCCTGCTGCACCGTCCGGAAGTTCCTAGGAGCCCTGGGGGCCAGATCTGAGCCCTATAATTTGTTGTTTGTCAGACAGCCTTGCTGTGTGTCGCCTACAGGGGCCTCAAACTCAAAATACTCTTGCCTCAGCGGGTGGAGTGCTGGAGAGTTCAGGCCTGCTGCCTTACTGAGTGACAGGGTGACACCACACCTGGTTTCACATCCTGAGTTTGAAGCTTGTAGTTCTCCAAAGTGTGGTCCTGTAGCAGCAGCAGACCTGGGAGCCGCGTGGAAATTCTCTGAACCAGAAGGCCTGCAGGCAGAACCCTGACTATCTTGCATCGAGTCCCCAGGGTGCTAAAGTTTCAGAATGACTGGCTTACACTTTCTGTCTTTAATACCAGATGTCCTAGAGATGGACATATTTTAAGGTGTTATTCTTCAAGAGTAATCTTAACCTTTATAAGTTTTCTGGACATTTAAATTATTTGTTTCTTTTTTTCTTTCTTTTTTTGTTTTTGGTTTTTTTTTGTTTGCTTGTTTTTTTTTTGTTTTGTTTTTTGTTTTTGTTTTTTGAGTTTCTCTGTGTAGCTTTGAAGCCTCTCCTGGACCTTGCTCTGTAGACCAGGCTGGCCTCGAACTCACAGAGATCCACCTGCCACTGCCTCCAGAGTGCTGGAATTAGAATGGGCCACCACTGCCCAGCTCATTTTAATTTTCTGAACATTGCACAAAAATTGTAAAGATAGTGAATGCTTTCAGATACTCTGTATGCAGCTTCCCTGTTATACTATCCTCCACTATTATCCACATTGTTTTGGACTCAAGTCAGGATGTTAGCCAGGTTTCTTTTGTTTTTTTCTTTGACTCCTTTTCTTTCAGGATCACATGCAGACGCTAAATCATGTTTCATTGTCGTTGTTCCTTCTTAATTATGGAAGTTTCTCAAGCTCCCCTTGTTTTCTTTTTTAAGAATAACTTATTGCTATTTATTTATTGATTTGATTGATTGCTAGATAGATAGAGTCTCACTACGTAGCCCTGGCTGATCTGGAACTAGGCCAGACTGTCCTCAAACTCAGAGCTCTGGTTGCTTCTTTCTCCTGAGTCCTGGGATTGGGCATTGACTGATCTTTTAGAGGACCCAGTTTTATTTTATTTGTTTTATTAATTTTTTTTGTTTATTGGTTTGTTTTGTTTTTGCTTGTTTTACAGACAGGGTTTCTTTGTGTAGCTCTGGTTGTCTTGGAACTATAGACCATGTTGTTCTTGAACTCAGAGATCTGTCTGCTCTGCCTCCTGAGTGCCTCTGCCAGCTCCAGGGGACCCAGTTCTAATTCCAGCACTCACATGGCAGCTCACAAGTCAACCATGACTCCAATCCTAAAGCCATTTGATGCTCCCTTCTGGCCTCTGTTGGCACTGCATGTACATGTGTACATAAAAAAGACATTAATAAATAAATAAATCATAAAAAACAAAATAAATAGATAAATGGAATAAAATACAAACAAAAGGGGTGGAGACCTATTTCTCCCTTCCATGAAAATAGACCACCTACATTGAATTCTTCTGTATGGGATATTTTTCCCAGCTAACACATTTATTTACTTATTTACACATTAATTTATATTACTGATATCACTATGGACTCATGGATATTTGTTTTATATTTTGAGTTAAAGTCCAACACGTTTTATTCTGTTGCTCAATTTATTATGCCTTTGTCTTTTGGAGTTAGTGTGTATGTGTGAATTTCTTTATTATATTTTATTATTTATTGTTTTGAGACTGGGTCTTGGTGTGGGAACTCCTTCTGTATATGTGTTGCTTTTGTTGGTTAATGAATAAAGAAGCTGCCTTCCGCCAATGACTTAACAGAATATAGCCAGATGGGAAATCCAAACAGAGATGTAGAGAGAGAGTAGGCAGAGTCAGAGAGAAGCCATGTAGCTGCTGCAGGAGATAGATGCCTCTATGGGAGTGTGCCAAAACTTTGCTGGTAGGCCACGACCTCATGGTGATGCACAGAGTAATGGAGATGGGTTAGTTTAGGATATGAGAGCTAGCTAGAAATATGCATATGCTAATAGGTCAAGTAGTGATTTAATTAATACAGTTTCTGTGTGGTTATTTCGAGTTTGAGCAACTGGGAACAAATGAACAGCTTCCACCTACAGGGTCTCATGTAGCTCAGACTGATCGAGAACTTGAAATTCTCCTGCCATTTGGGTGCTAGGATTACAAACATAGGTTACCATGCCTGGCCTAGATAGGCTTCTTTGATTTAGAAATGTATGCTTAATTTTCATTTATAATTAATATTGTTATTATTGATAGAGTCTCTCCATATAGCTCTGGCTGTCCTGGAACTTGTTATGTAGACCAGACTGGCCTTGAACTCACAGTGATCCACCTGTCTCTGCCTTGTGATTGTTGGGATTAAAGGCATGTGCCACCATGCCCAATTCCATCCATTTTGTAGTTAGATATATACCACTTCTTTTTGTTAGTTTTTGAGATAGTATCACTATATAGCTAAGATTATCCTTGAACTGGAGATCCTCCTGCCTCAGCTTCTACACTGTCACACTTGTCTGGTAATTCATTTCTTTTTATCAGGTAAATAATATTCCATCATGTTGATGTGTGACAATTTGCTTTTGTTTGTTTGTATCCTATACAGAAGATTTCGATGTAGGTGTTCTGTTTTCATAGAGGGGGAAAATAGCTCTCGCCCCTTTTTGTTTTATTTGTACTTTATTCTATCTATCCATCTATTTATTTATTAATAATTTATTTAACGTTATTTTGTTTGCACTGGTGTTTTGCATGCATGTATGTCAGGGTGTTAGATCAGATTTTGGAGTTACAGACAGTTGTGAGCTGCCATTTGAGTGCTGGGAATTGAACCCTGGTCCTCTGGAAGAGCAGCCAGTGCTCTTCACTACTGAGCCATCTCTAAAGACCCTCTATTTTTTTTTTAATATTTACTTTTTTATTCATGTCTATGTATGTCCACATGTGCATGCAATGCCAGCAGAGGCCAGAAGGGAGCATCAAAAGCCCCTAGGACTGGAGTTATGGTTGGCTTGTGTGCTGCCACATGAGTGCTGGGAATTAAAACTGGGTCCCCTGGAGCAGGCAGAGGCACTCAGGAAGCAAAGCAGGCAGATCTCTGAATGCCAGCCTGGTCTATAGAGCTAGTTCCAGGACATCCAGGGCTACACACACACACACAAAAAAAAAAAACCACCCCAATCTCAAAAAAACAACCAACCAAACAAAAAAAGAAAACAAAAACAAACAAACAAAAAAAAGAAAGAAAGAAAAGAAAAGACAAAAAGAAAAGAAAAACAAAGGAAGTTTGAAAAACTGCCACAATTAAAAAGGGCTTCTCTGTGTACCACTGGCCGTCCTGGAATTCAGTCTGTAGACCAGGCTGGCCTTGGACTCAAAGATCTGCCTATCTCTGCCACCTGAGTGCTGGAATCATACTTCGGGTGAACTTTTTGTTTTGTTTATGTGCTGGAGATGGCATTCAGGAGCATGCACATAAATCGGCAAGCCCCGATCTTCTAATCTACTCTCAACCTCTAATTCTAGAATTTCTATTAAGGCAACATAATGGTCACAAATCAGCAATCTAGCCTTGTAGCCTTAGAGAGAACACAAATCCTTGAAAAGGGACTCGTGATCAGCAGGGGACACCCTGCTTCTTCCTTCTTCCTGGATGATAAAGTAGAGAACCACAGGAAGTGGAAGGCATGGCCCACTCTAGCAGCTCCTGGATGACAAAGACCTTTCAACCTGTAGCAGAAGAGAGGGGGAAAAAGCAGCTGTCAGCACTGCCATGACTCGTGGGGTAGATGGACCAGACACTTCACACTGTGCTTAGCTTTTTTTCTTTTTTTTTTAAATATTTATTTATTTATATTTTACATACATTGGTGTTTTGCCATGAGTGTTGGGTTTCCTGGAACTAGAATTACAGACAGTTGTGAGCTGCCATGTGGGTGCTGGGAATTGAACCCGGGTCCTCTGGAAGAGCAGTCAGTGCTCTTAACTACTGAGCCATCTCCCTAGCCCCTTTTTCTTATTACTTTAAAAAAAAAAAATACCAATCCAAATTCCCACTCTCTCCCCTTCTCCCAGACCCCTCTCACTCCCTCCACCCACCCTCCCACCCCATCCCCTTCAATCCTAAGAGAAGGCAATACACCCCATCCTGTAGAAAGTCCAAGGTCCTCCCTACTACATCTACATTGGGCTGATGTGCTTAGCTTTTTAAGAAGCTGCTACCTGGGCCTGGAGAGATGGCTCAGTGGTTAAGAGCAGTGACTGCTCTTCCAGATGGACCTGGGTTCAAGTCCACTCACAAGGCAGCTCACAACTGTCTGTAACTCCAGTTCCAGGGGATTTGGCACCCTCACACGGAATACCAATGCATATTAAGTTATGGAAAGCTGCTAGCTGGCTTGTAATCTCAACACTTAGTAGCAGGAGACTCTGCAGTTTAAGGACAGCCAGAGCTACATAGTGAGATTCTGTCTTAGGAAAAGAAAAGCTGGTGTGTAAATCCGTGTTAGAGCACGCTACCCAGAGTGTGCAAAGCACTGTGTTCCACTACTAGCATCGCAGAAAATTAAAAGCCAGCACCAGATGCAGACTTCCAACCTTAGACCATTCTCGGGTTACTCTTCTCCTTGCTGTGACCACATGACTCACACACACACACACACACACACACACACACACACACAAATTAAGGGAGGAAAGGTGCATTCAAGATCATGGCTCAAGGGGCAGATTTCATCTTAACAGGCAAGGCTGGTCAGGAAGCAGAGAAAATGACTTTAAAAATTCAGTCCAGAATCTCAGTCCACAGGGCAAGAATCTCAGTCCATAGTTGACAAGATTAACCGTCAGATGTTTACCCTCTTCAACCTGACACCCGAGCATATGTCTTTTTTTTTTTTTTTTAAAAACAAATTCTCTCTAAATAGCCCTGGCTGCCCAGGAACTCACAATATAGACCAGGCTGGCCTCAAACTCACAGAGATCCTCCTGCCTCTGCCTCTTGGCCCTTTGAGTGCTGGGATTAAAGACATGTGCCACCATGCCTGGTCAAATTCATAATTTTTAAAGTGTAACATTGCACTCCTGGTCTTTGAAGCCTCATGTTGCTCTTTTGAACTTTTTTTTTTTTTTTAACAAGACAGGATTTCTCTGTGTAGCTCTAGCTGTCCTGGAACTCACTTTGTAGACCAGGCTGGCCTTGAACTCACAGAGATCTGTTTGCCTCTGACTCCCAAGTGCTGGGATTAAAAACATGTGCCACCACTGCCCAAGAAAACATTTTTAATAATACTAACAATATTATTTGTGTGTGTGCGCACAAAGACAAATACCACGACATGCATGTGGAGGTCAGAGGATGACTTTGTGGAATTGTTTCTTTATGTGGGTTCCAGGGATCCAACCCAGGTCACCAGGGCCACAAACCAAAAGCCTTTACCTGCAGGGAAAACAGCAACAACCATGTGAGGGAGGAAAAGATTATTTGTCCCATGGCTCGGGGGTAAAGTCCATCATGTTAGAGAAGATATGATCACAGGTACATGGCTCCTGAATTCACCCAACCTGACATACGTACATTTCATTCCCTCACATATATGTCATTACATATGCTTATTCTGCAGACAAAAAAAAAATCTACTCACAATTTTTCAGGTCAATTTGCTTTGTTCTTTTTAAGAAAGGGTCTCACTGTGTAGACTGGGTTGGCCTGGTACTTGCTATGCAGACCAGACTGGTTTCAAACTCACAGAGATTAAACTGCCTCCTACGTGCTTTAATTAAAAGCATGCACTACCATGCCCAGATTAATTTGTTGTTGTTGTTATTTTTATATTTTATGCATATGACTGTTTCTCCTTCTCTTATGTATTTGCACCACAAGCATGGCTAGTGGCCCTGAGGGTTCAAAGAGGCAGTGGATTTCTTGGAACTGGAGTTCCAGGGAGTTTGTGAGCCACCATGCGCATGAACCAAACCTGGGTCCTCTGCAAGAACAGCAAGTGCTCTTGACCTCTGAGCCATCTCTCCAGTCCGATTATGCTATCTGAATTATTGTAAAAGGGTTACATCTCCTACTGAAGTCCCTCGACAGATTTGAGAGAAGCTGGAGAAAGAGCACAGAAGTCCCAGATGCCAGTGAGAAAGCCATGGAACCAGAGAGGGCCGTGCCACATCTTGGAAGGTATAGGGCTGCTTGTCCCGCCCAATCTGCGGAGCCCTACTCTCCGATATGGGGCGGGCTTCCCTTACCGAACAGCGAGCCTGGATCAATATCCTAGGAATTAAACAGACACACACAGAGAGACCAGGATCATTTGCCCAAAGGGTAAATGTCAATCTTTATTCAGCACATGTCGGGTTTATATACTTGGGGCAAAATGACGAGAGCCTCCTCCCATCTGGGACAGGGAATGAGGGTGCCAGGCGCCACCGGCTTGGCTTGAGAACTGAGGGGAGGGGGTGTCAGTAGCTGCGGTGTCAGACACGGTGGTAACCTTTGCTTGCAGGTGGAATTACCATATCAAAAGAGGACAAAGCTCTCTCTAAACTAATCCCCCAAGGCGGTGAGCAGAGAAGGCAGGAAGCTAGGAGAAAAACAGCCCTGCATAGAGCCTCGAAGAAAGGGAAAAAAGCCCGGGTACCAACAGCTGCTTTCTACAGTTCTGCTTGGATGAGTACAATTTGGCTGCCAGAGCGACACCTGAAATGCTTGCTCAGACTCCACCTGGTGGCAGTTCAATTTCATCTTCCTGCCTCAGCTCCCTAGTGCTAGGACAGTTTATATATATATAAACCTTTTATATATATACACATGCACACACGTATATTTATATATATTATTCTATATAAATATATCATATATAATTTATATATAATATATATTTTTATATTTATATGTGTGTGTATATACCTTTTATAGTATATACTTTTTATAACGTCACTTTTATAAGCAGCAAAACTAAAAAACAAAACAAAGGAAAACAAAAAACCCATCCCCAAATAAACAACAAAAAGCCCCCTAACATTTCAGTCAAAATATTTACCTGACTTATTTTGCTACATAAGTGTCTAGTTTTCTTGCTGGGGTCTCCAAGACTCTTAGGAGAAAGTATTTCCTCTCCTGAAATACCTAAAGCACCAATAGATGGGGGCCGGGTGGGTGCTTGGCTTAGGGTGCTGTGTAATGGGAGACTATCGTACTCAACACACATTATAGGTACTCTGTGAAGAACAAGGCTGAGAGAAAGAGAACACTGGGGTGAAAATTCCGTTCCTTTGGCTTAGATCATCAAGTGGTAAGCAGCCGCTTGGCACAGTGGTGAGTGTCTGTAGTAATTACAGCCAAACATTGAGGAAACTGAGATAGGAAGATTGCCTGAGCCCAGGAGTTCAGGACCAGACTGGGCAACCTTCGAGAGAGGCTTCTCTCAAAAAAAATCAAACAAAGCAAGAACTAAGCTTCTGTTGAGGACCTTTTGTGTACCTGACCCCGTTTCAGAAATTTTGGGAGATGTTACATTATTAAATAAAACAAATAAAGAGTCTATATGTGGGGTTACTTTCTAATATAGAGAGAACTCACTGTAAGTACAGCACAATATGTAAATACAGTGTATGGGACGGTACAGGTCTGACCGCCATGGGGGGGAAGGAATGTTGGAGCTGAGAGATGACCCGAGGGTGGAGTGCTTGCTGCACAAATGTGAGGACCTGGGCTCAGATCAGCATGAGTGCCAGGCCATCCCAGAGAGCCCTCAGATAACTGGCTAGCATGAGTAGATGAACGGGCACGCTCTGGGTTTAAGTGAGAGTCCTTGTCTCGATATATATGAGGTGGAGAGCCATCAAGGAAGACACCCCATGTTAACCTCTGGCTTCTAATCAAGTGTGCACCCACATGCATAGGAACCCATGTTAACTCATACATGTGCAAACACACAAAATACACATGTCTACACACACACACACACACACACAGAAAGTTTGAGAATATGGTATGGGAGAGTGGATTGCAATTTATTTTTCTTCTTTTCCATTTAAATGTTTATTTTTATTTGTTATCGTTGTGTAATAGTGGGGCCCGAGCCACAGCGTGCAAATGTCGAGGTCAGAGGACAATGCTTTTTGTTTGTTTGTTTGTTTAAGGCAAGGGTCCTGTCCTGTAGCTCAGGAAGGAGGCCTCCCAGCTATACTTCTCAAGTGCTGGGTGCCTCATCACCCCCAGTCATCTTTCCTTTTCCTCTTTTATTTATTTCCTTACTACTTTATTTTTATTTTTTTAAGACAGAGTCTCTGGCTCTCCAGGAACTCACTCTGTAGACCAGGCTGACCTTGAACTCACAGAGATCTGCCTGCCTCTGCCTCCTGAGCTCTGGGATTAAAGGCAAACACCACTATGCCTGGCTCCTTATTACTTTCTTTTTGAAAAATATTTATTTTATTTTTAATTGTGTGTGTACTTTTATATGGATATGTGTGTATGAGTACTGGTGCCTGTGGAGGCCAGAGGTGTTCAATCCCCCAGCAGCTGAAGTTGCAGGCGGTTGTAAACTGCTTGGTGTGGGTGCTGAGAACTGAAGCTGGTGCTTTAAATGCCGAGCCATCTCTCAGTGAAGCGCAGAGAGAGAAACTGGGGTTCAACCTGAAGATCCGGAAAGCGAAGCCATCAGCTCTTGGCTCTGACCTCGACTTCAGACCGAAATGGCGATCCTGCTTCCAGGAATCTCAGAATGAGACTGTGTCTGAGAGCTGTTTTCTTCCGTTTTATAACCCTCTTTAGAGCTGAGATTAAAGGTGTGCACCACCCGGTTTCTATGGCAAACTAGTGTGGCTACTGGGATTAAAGGTGTGTGTTACTACTGCCTGGTCTGTAAGGCTGACCAATGTTTTACTGTTTTACTCTCTGATCTTCAGGCAAGTTTTATTTATTAAAATACAAATGAAATGCCACTACATCTCAGTCCTTACTTTCTTCTTTTTTTAATGATATCTTTATTTATGTGCATGCGTGTGTGTCTGTGTGTATGTATGCTGTGTGTGGGTGCCCTTCGAGGCTAGGCAAGGGTGCCTTGTGGCTGGAGTTATAGGTGAGCCATGCATTGCTGGAAACTGAAAGCAGGTCCTTAGGAAGAGCGCTTAAGCACCAAGCCATCTCTAGCCCCCTGGTCAGTTTCTTTCCCTTTGGAGCACTCCGTTGGGACTCAGAGCCTGGCATAATGCTTGAGAGGCGCTCTGCTGCTAATTCACACCTTCAACCTGGGTTCCCTTTTCCTTTCCCCCCCCTTTTTTGAGACAAGGCCTCAGCAGATAGCCCAGCGGATTGAAATTTTAGAATGGTCAAGACAGCCCTCTTTGAGAGGGTTTCTTCCAGCTGCCAGAATGTGGGGAAGGAATGCTTCAGGGAGATTTCTTGGAAGATTTCCAGGCATCAGTTCAGAAGATCCTTAGTTAGAAGCAGGCCTGAGGGGAAAGGTTGGGGAACAGGGCAGATTGAAGTCCCTTAGAAAGACATTAGGTTTTAGACATTGAGCAAAAAGGTATTTAAAACATCTTTCAGTACTAGCTTGCTGGCTCTTCTTCCCTGTGTCTGGCTTGGCGTGTGTGGATGTGTGCCCATGCCGGTGACATCAGATGAGGACCTCTCTTGACAAGACCATGCAGCTTCCCCCCCCCCCCCCCCCGCCTCCTTCCTAGGCTGGGGTGTGGTTCACTCCACCCGCTTCAGCTGTTTTTATCACACTCTCCCAGCCCTGGGAACTCAGTTTCCCAGTCCGAGAGTAAACTAAAGGTATGCGGTAGGGGCCATTCCACAACCTTCTCTCCAGACATTGATTCTGGGCTAATCACTGTGGGAACCTCCCAGTGGGACAAGGAGTCAGAGCCGGGACACAGAGGAGACACTGGGAATGCAGAATAGTGAGCAACAAATCACCCTGCTAATCTGAAGATCCCCTTCCCCACCTCCCTCCACACTCCCACCCCTGGCCTGACACAATGGCTGGGTGGGGCTGAGGAACTGGCTTCCTCTGTGGAGATGGAAATCTGGGCCTTCAGTTCCCGTCCCAAAGACCCAGGGATATTTATTTGGAGACACTGGGCAGCATTTGGTGCTCCAAGGGGGCAGGAAGATAGGCTGAAAACAGAAACTACCCCAAATCATAAAGGTAAATTCCTGGATGGGGGTGGGAGGGCTCTGCAGGTGGGAGGGAGGAGAAGAGAGGTTCCCTTTGTGCCAAGTGTGGATGGCTCACACCAAGGCAAGAGGTTGGAGTTTGGGGAGACAGACTCCAACCTCTGTGCAAGTGGTAGGAACGATGGCCAGACAGCCCTTCGCTGAGTGGGATAGGCATGTGCAGGGTCAGCCCAGCCTGCCAGGACCACCCCATTCTCACCTGAACGCCGCCACTTAGCAGGGCAGGTGAGGGTGTGCACGCAAAGCAACTCTCTCTCCATACCTGGGTTCCAGCCTTTTCTAACCTCCAACACCTTGGATGCCGGATTCTTCACATCCTCTAGGCCCAGTGTGCGCATGTGGAGCCTGGTGTGGTTGGGGGGGGTGGTGTCCGGTTGGGAGGAGGATCGGATTCCTGTTTCCTGCCCCTACTCACTCTGCCCTAGGAGGTGACGGAGAGTGGAGGGAACTGGAGGGTAAGTGCTTGGGGCTCCGGTCTCTCTGGGCCCTGTAAAAGGCCTGAGTTGGGAGTAGGGAAGGAAGTAGACACAGGTACCTGGGATGGGGGAGAGTGAGTTCCCTGAAGGGGCAGAGGCTGTGGAGCAGGAGACCACTGCCTAATGAGGGGCTTCATGGCAGCATGTAGGGGCCACCGAGTGAGCTGCAACCTAAGGGGTCCCTGATGTCTATCGTTTCTCAAGAACCTCGGCCGGGACCTGCAAGGCTATGACTTTTGATCATGCAGGGAATTTAGGGTCTCTCTTGTGTCCCAGCTCTGGTCTCCATCCTCCTTGTCAAGAGGAAGAGAAGCCCAGGTCTCAGTCTCAGTCCCAGTGCTGTGGGTTTGATGCTTTGGCCTGGCAGTGGCCTCCCAGGCATCCGGGCAGGACCCAGCCTCCCATTGGAGCTTCTCTCTGTGACCAGACCCAGGTGTGGCAGGGATAAGAGGATGGTGAGCAGAAGGGACCAGGCTGGGGCCTCCGGTCTCCTGGGGTCAGAGGCTCCAGGAATCTTCATGGCAGGAAAAGGAGACTAAAAATAATCCGGAAAGGGAGAGTCCGGAGAGGGGAACTGGGAAATGGGAGGGGGGAGGGGGAGCTACAGCAGGGAAACAGTGATACATCCCTCAGCTCAGGCACTGGCTTGCACGTGTGTGTGCGTGCGTGCGTGTTCACACACACTCTCGTACATACATGCTTTACTCAGATAGCATAGAACATGCACACTATACACACACACACACACACACACACACACACACACACACACGACACATCAAGAGCCACCGCTGATCCCACTGTTCCCCAGCATACCCCCCAGGGCACACCCAACTCTCTCTCTCTCTCATCCAGCACTAGGTAAACAGCTCACAGTAACTCCCATAAACTCCTACATATGGTGACTGGACCAGCAAGCTGAGTTCCCAGCACTGCATCTTACTGACCTCAGTTACTCCTGCCTTCCCGTCCTCCCAACAGCTTGTTCTTAGCCCCACTGTGTCCCCTAGCCTGACTGTGGCAGCAAAAGTCAAAGGATAGAGAAACTGGCCAAGGCAGCACCCCCAGACTGAGATAGGAGGGTCAGAAGTTTGATCTCAAAAAAGAAAAGCTGCCCAGGAGGGCCCGGAAGGGGGCAGGATGAGGGGTGAGAGGTGAAGACGGTGTGATAAGGAGGAAGGGAGGGAAGTGTACCATCAGTCTTCTCTCTCTTGACTCAAAAACATAATTTCAGGCAGCCTCAGTCTACCCATGGGGTACGGGGGACACTGAGGAGCACTTTCTCCCTCCACTCTCCTCAGGGGATGACTTCCACAGGACACCTCCCTCCTTGGAAACACTCAGAAGACAATGTCAGCCGAGTCCCTTCCTGCAGCAACGCCCCCTACCTTGAAGCCCCCTCGGATCATCCGCCCCCGCCCCCCTTCTCGCCATCGAGCTCCACACTCCCCGGGGCCTCCCCAAAACGGCTCCCCTTCGAAAGCACTTCCTCAAATTCCCAATGATGCATCAGCCTCAGTGTGCACCTCCATCTTCTGGGAGCCCCCAACATCTTCCCTGAAGCCCCCTGCCCTCCTGCCCCCTTCAGTTTCCAGAGCCAGTCTGGACTCTCAGACTTCCCCTGACTCGCCTTCCAGCACGCCCAGTCCCAGCCCAGTGTCCCGGCGCTCCGTCTCCCCAGAACCAGCTCCTTCCTGCTCGCCAGTGCCCCCACCCAAGCCCTCTGGATCGCCCCGAACACCTTTGCCCTCGTTCCCTATGCCCCTCCAGGATGGCTCTGCCTCGGCCCCTGGCACGGTTCGCAGACTGGCTGGCAAGTTTGAATGGGGGGCTGAAGGCAAAGCCCAGTCCTCAGACTCCCTGGAGCGATGCTCCCAAGGGGGCACGGATGTGAATGGGGAGAGAGAGACTCCCCAAGCCATCCCTTCCGGGAATGGGTCCCAGGAGAATGGCACTCCAGGTAAGCATATGTTGAGGAGCCTCAACACAGCTAGATCATCTTTGTTTTCAGTTCTCAAAAACCGAGACTTTAAAGGGCTAACATTTCTAATGTAGAAATGTTGCATTAGACAGGGTGGATGAGATCTACAGATACCTGGGGTTAGGGTTAGTCCTTTATGTGGGGGAAGAGTCTGTGATGGGATGAATCAGGTCCCAAGGACTTTCTCCTTAGACAATCCCTTCTGCTACAGATGCTGCCCTGGCTTGCCCTCCATGCTGCCCCTGTGTCTGCCATGTAGCAAAACCTGGCCTGGAGCTCCGATGGGTGCCTGTGGGGAGTTCTGATGACATCCTCAGGGCCCCCTGCCGGGCATCCCCACTGCGAGCCTCCCGCTCCCGCATCAACCCACCAGTCATCAGCCACCCTCCAGTCGTCCTTACATCTTACCGCTCCACTGCCGAGCGCAAACTCCTACCTCCCCTCAAGCCCCCCAAGCCGACTCGAGTCAGACAGGATACCAACACCTCCGGGGAGCTTCCACAGCCGGACCTGGAACTGCCTTCGGAAGATGGGATCCAAACAGGTACAAGGACATGGAAGGGTTAGAACATGGAAGGTAGGGAGAGAAGACAGGGCCTGGAGTGGTAGAAGCTCTGGGCTTTGAGGGCACAGTGTGGAAGATGAGAGGCCCGCTACAACCCTACCAAGCCCGCGACTTTTCCCTTTTCTCCCAACTGCTGCTCAGGAGTGGGGGGGGGGGTCAGTCTTGGCTGGGGTACTGAAGGTTAGCCCTGGTCATTCTGAGTTCTCTCTCCAGGGGACAGGCCTGAAGAAGCGCCTCAGAATGTTCCTCCTGCGGCCTTGGAGGGAAGGTACTCAACTCCCCCCAACCATGTTCCTTCTCCTCTCTTCACCTCAAACTGTCTCTCCTGCAAGGGCAGACTAACTTCAAGTCCAGATGAATACTATTTTATGGTGGGACAGGGATCCAGAGGAGCCCAGGTTTCTAACCTGATCTCTGTTCCTCACTAATTATGCAGCCTTAAATAAATTCTCTTTTTCTGGGTCTCAGAGTTTTTCTCTAAGAAGCAGGAATAAGCTTGGTTCTGTTCCATGAGGTTATTGAGGAATAATATTGCAAAAAAAATCTGGGCTCAAACTAGGTTTAGTGGCACAAGCTATAATCCCAGCACTCAGCAGACACGAAAATCAGGAGTTGAGGCCAGCCTGGATATATATCACAGTTCATTTTCAAAACAACAACAAACCAAAAATAAAACAAAAAACAAAACAACAAACAAACCAAAGGCAGAGTCAAGCACTACTTTAATTTTCTTATCTTTTTGTGAGTCTGTATTAAAAATTTTTTTAAGTTTTTTGTTTGTTTGTTTTGTTTTGTTTTTTTAAGACAGGGTTTCTCTATGTAAAAGTCTTAGCCACCCTGGAACCAGCTCTTGTAGACCAGGCTGACCCAGAACTCACACAGATCTGCCTGCCTCTGCCTCCCAAGTGCTGGGATTAAAGGCGTGTGCCACCACTGCCTGGTTTAAGATTTATTTTTAATTGTGAGTGTGAGCCTATGTATGTCTGCAGGTACTTATGGAGGCCAAAACAGTGGTATCTCCCCTTGTAGGTTGAGTTACCGATAGTTGTGAGCCACCTGATATAGATGCTGGGAATCAAACTCAGGTCCTCTGTATGGGTAGTACATGCTCTTAACCACTGAGCCATTTCTCAAACCCTCAATTAAAATGATTGTTGGCAAAACCATTAGGCAAACATGGCCATCTCTTATGCTTTCCAGTCTTGCTGATTGTCTTAGATTGATTGTTTTTGTATTAGAAGTAATAATCCAGCTATGCCGATTTGTTTATAAAGTACTTACTACCGCCGGGCGGTGGCGGCGCATGCCTTTAATTCTACCTAACACTTGGGAGGCAGAGGCAGGCAGATCGCTGTGAGTTTGAGGCCAGCCTGGCCTACAAGAGCTAGTTCCAGGATAGGCTCCAAAGCCACAGAGAAACTGTGTATTGAAAAAGAGAGAGAGAGAGAGAGAGAGAGAGAGAGAGAGAGAGAGAGAGAGA